AGAGAGATTTTTCTGTTAACCCAAGCCTGTAGGCTGACGCGTTCAATTTGCGTTCTACGGCTTCGCCAACTAGTCGACACACACACACACACACACACACACACTACACACACACACAACACACACACACACAACACACACACACACAACACACACACACACACTGGGACCAAAACATTGCAGAATGGAAGACGAAACACAACCTCCTCCACACAAGTCCCAATAAAAGAAAAAGTCTAAAAAAAACCAGCTCGAAGGTATGTGGAATACTTCAAATTTAGTCCCAAGCGTAAAGGTGTCGCTTATTTGCGCTCTTCGTGGGATCAATCTGGGCGGAGGCCCTCGTTGTCGCTCAAAAGTGGAGGAGACTGGTGGGCAGGTGGGTGCTGGCGTTGGCTGGGTTGGTTTCATGTGTGTGTGTTTGTGGGTTCGGGCTCTGCGCACTTAGCATCTGGATTGATTTGGCCAGCATTGGTGTTTGTTGTTGTCTCCTTCGCGAGTGGCAAAAGGGGATCCTCCGTTTCAGAGAGTTGGTTAGCGTAGACCACGTAAGTTGCACAGCTGCTAGATCTTAGCCTTAACGGTAGCCTTTTTAACGTTATCTGTTTTAAACGTTTAGCTAACGCACATTAATTTGTCCATTAGTCGACTAATTGGGATACGAATAATCGCAGCCGATTAATTTCGTGCTTAATTGTAAAATACCATCGTGATACCCACCAAGCCTACTGTTACTTCAGAGAGGTGAACGAGCGGAGTTGCGATCTGCAATCCTAATCATACTGGACCTCTTTAATAGAGAATAAATTAGGTGAGGTTTGGCAGCTCTGTCATTGTCTTGGAGCAGAGTTCTGTAAGAGGAGAGCGGTGTGTCCGATCGCATTTGTTTGTCTTTTGTTCTTTTCCTTGTTGTGATTTCGAACCCACACATTAATTCGCATTTTTAGTGCCGCGTGTGAACAGGGTCTCTCTCTCTCTTCTCCTCTTCTCTTTCTCTCATTCTAATCGCTTGAACAGACGATTCTCGGCTCCAGTCATCATTTTGGTTCTCTCACTTGAGCATTCTTTTCCTGGCTGGCTCAAGTTTTTTGTCAGTGTGGTTCTTGGAGAGGGAGCCAGGGTGTGTGCAGTGAGTCCGGATCCCTGTAAACGGAACTGAGAGAGGAGTGGGGGGAGGGGGGGGCCCAATTTTACATAGCCAGACTGACTTCTAGAAAGCAACAAGTCACAGTTAACCGTTGGAAGGGGGGAAGTGGATTGGTGCAGCCTCCTGATCGAAGAACTACGTCACTTTTTTGATCTGCAAACTGTGGCTTTTTTGGCAAATGTCATTAATTTTCTTGTACAAGCTCTTGCGAACTTCCTGCTGGTTTAACACCTACACCACCACTCCCCCAAACGGGTATGAAGCAAGTATGTTTCAAATTTTCAGCTTTGTGAGGTAGGTTCCACAACATCACACTACACACACACATCACATTCCTCACACCAACAACAACACACAACACACACAACACACACACTTTTTATTCCACACACACACACACACACACACATTCACACCCAGCAGCCAATCAGAATCAGGCATTCACCCAGACCAGGGTATAATGGTGTGTGACTGACATCACTGAGTCTGTGAGTCTCTTTTACTACTTCATCTACACACTACAGGTTAGCATTTACCATTAAGTTAAATAGACTCTAACATTCTCTTCATGTTTATTCAGTAGCTCAGACATTAATGATATAAAGTATTTTACACAGATTCCATCCTTTCACTAGCAAAAACATATAATTGCACAAAAAATGTGAATTGACAGAGAACATAAACTGAGTTTAAACAGGGTTCAAAAGG